AGTTCTCCTACCTCCAGCGCCTCCTGCTCGTCCATGGCCGCTGGGCTTACCTCCGCATCTGCAAGTTCCTGCGCTACTTCTTCTACAAGACCTTTGCTGGCCTCATGGCCCAGGTCTGGTTCGCTTTCCACAGTGGATTCACGGCTCAGGTGAGGAATGAAGCCATTATCAAGGGTTGCACCCATCCCATCAGTGCTTCAACCCCTCTGCACAGGATCCCATGCAGGTCTCGTGCCTGATGGGCACATCACCACCCTGGTCCCCTTTCTCCCTTGCCCTGGTATTGGACTGTCCGATTTATGGGGGCTGCCTGGCTGAGTTACAACGGGGTATGTGCCTTTTGGCTGACTGGATTGGGGAAAGCAGCCTGTGGAGGTTTGGGATGTCCTGATGAGCTGCAGCTCAGTCTCGGACAGATGCAGGGAAAGATCCCATGTGCATTTAACTGGTTTCCTCCAAAATGGGACCTTTTATCCCAAAGGCCATCAGTATGACTTTACCACCGCTGTGTGCTCCAGCCCCCCCATCTCCATCTGCAGCATGGTCCCACAGTCCACTGACTGCTGCAGACAGTGTGGGGCTGATGCAGAACTTGGGGCAAGTCCATGGGGTTTTCCACAGAGTTTGGGTTTCCCGGGCTCGCCCCTGGTGCCTGGGCATCTTTTGGGAGTCCTTTTGAAGCACCACTGCTCTCACAGCTGCTTTCTTTTCCCTTCTAGCCCCTGTATGAGGGCTGGTTCCTTGCACTCTACAACATTTTCTACACCACCTACCCTGTGCTGTCCATGGGCCTTTTGGAGCAGGTATGGGTTCATTGGGCTGCATCCGGCCCCTGTGCCTGGAGGCTGCATCCTCTGTGGGTGTGAATCAGCCTGGCAGTTGTTCCACCCCACCTCTTTATGCTGGGACAGGGGATCAAGCAGCTCAATGGGCATTTGGAGCTTACCAGCGGTGCTCTATTCCCCATCACCCCAGAGCAACCATGTGTATTGACTCACAGCAGCATCCCTGTAGGGGTTGTTGCATGGGGTGGGCCCAATCCTGCTTCCCAGTGTGGTGGGGAGGGTGATGCTTGGTGCCTTCTCGGCAGGACGTGAGTGCCAAGAAGAGCCTGGAGTTCCCTGAGCTCTACGTGGCCGGGCAGCAGGATGAGCTCTTCAACTACCGCATCTTCGGCATCACCCTCCTGCACGGGGTCAGCACCTCGCTCGCCAGCTTCTACATCGCCTTCTGGGCCTTCAGGGACCATGTTGGCAGCAAGGCTGTTGGTGACTACGAGTCCTTTGCTGTCACGGTGGCCACATCGGCGCTGCTGTCGGTCCTCATGGAGGTGAGCACCCGTCTGCCCTTCCCCATCTGGCCCAGTGGCAGACGTTGAGGGACTGGGCTCTCTGACACCGTCCCCAGTAGCTTTGTGGTTGGGGGATGACCTCCCTTGGGGCTGGGAGGAAATTGGGACTGAATGGAAGAGGATCCTCATCGGACACTGTGCGCTCTGCCCTTGTCACTACAGATCATCCTGGACACGAAGTTCTGGACGGTGCTGTCCTTTGTGATGGTCGCTGCCAGCCTGCTGCTCTTCTGCCTCTTCTCCTTCCTGACCCAAAGCATCGGTGCCTTCAGGATAGCCCCTGCCATCTTCTGCTTCCCAGGTCAGATGCCCTGGGGATCGCCGTGGTTCTTCCCTCCTCAGGTTGGGGAGCCCACCCTGGCCTTGGTGCTACAAGCTGTTTCCCACCTGGTAGATCATCTCTCCATCACAACTTCTTGATCCTTCTGTCTTGTTTCGGTGCCATCTCCTCTTTAGACCCTTTGATGCCTTTATGGGTGCGGGCCTGTCCCCTGACAGTTGTTCCCTCTGTGCTCTCCACCTTCCCTACCTAAGCATCACTCACCACCTTCTTGCACTGACAGATGCCAGCCGGAATGCCCTCACCGACCCCTACGTCCTGCTCGTGGTCCTGCTGTCCCTGGTGGTGAACACTATCCCCTCACTGACCATCCACCTGTACCACGCCATGGCAGGCAAACCCACCATCCAGCAGGTGAGGGCTGATGGGGATGGCACGGGGAGGGCTCTGGGGCTGTTCTGCAGGGAAGCCACCTGGGACTTGTCCCCTCTCCTTGGTGGCACCGCTCGCCTGGTGGTGGCTGCTCATGCCACTGGTGCCCAAGGCTGGAACTGGCTTCCAGGACTCCCTGGACCTGCCAATTAGGAGGCACTGGGGTCTGGAGCAGGTTTTGGTACCACCCCCAGCCTTCATAGAGCTCATCCCCATGTGGGTTATGGGTTTATACCCCTCTGGTGGTACAAAGAGGTCCCAGATAAGAGCAGGCGTTGAGATTGTGCTCCAGAGCTCCGGCAGCTTCAAAGACCCCAGGAGTGTTCCTATGGTGCACATCCCCTTGTGGCAACTCAGCTCATGGTGGAGCCGGGAGCCAAACCTCGGTGAAGGGCATCCCTGCCCATCCCTCCCTGGGGTGAGGGTTTGCCTGGGGGTGGCCACAGCCCTCATCTCCTCATCCCCTTGCAGAAGACCCGCTTGAAGGCCAAGCAGGCACCGGAGCCCTCGGTGGAGCTGCGTGCCCATGTCTCCCGTGGCTCCTTCCACCGCCGCTCCAGCTACGCCTTCTCCCACCAGGAGGGCTACGCCGGGCTCATCACCCGCGGGGACAGCCTGCGGGCCGGGGGTGCTCGCCCTGGTCCCCTGCATCCAGAGATGCAAACCCCGGCTTTGTCGTCCCCCCCCAGCCCCTTGCCGTAGGTGCCCTGGCAGCATCAACCTCCCCCAGTGCTGGGATGGGAGGTGCTCTCAAGGTGCATTTTCTGATCTTATTTGGATAGGTTTGAAGCCAGTGGCAGCCCCTATGGATGCGGAGGGGCTGGAGCAGCCTGGGGGATGCTGCTCCAGGCACTAAACTCTGGGACATGTCCTGCCAGCAGCTCTATCTGCTCCACACCGTGTGTGTTACAGCCTGTGCAGAAAGCAACCAACCTCTGCCACGCACATCGGGCTGGTTCTGGTGCCCATGGCTTTCAGAGGCATGAGCCCAGCAGATCAGCCTGGCTTCCAGCAGCCTCTCCTCATCGCTCCCCACCATCTGTGAGGGTGCTGAGGCGCTGGCACAGGGTGCCCAGAGAAGCTGTGTCTGCCCCATCCCTGGCAGTGCTCAAGGCCAGGTTGGACACAGGGGCTTGGAGCAAGCTGCTCCAGTGGAAGGGGTCCCTGCCCGTGGCAGGGGTTGGAACTGGAGGAGCTTTAAGGTCCCTTCCAACCCAACCCATTCCATAGTTCTATGATCTCCACCTCCTTGTCTTTGCTATCACCACATGAGTGGTGGTGTCTGCTATGTGCCATGCCCCACTCCCGTGGGACTGATATCCCCATCTCCAGGGACAGCTTGTGCCCACAGGCCCTACAAAGTACTACTGTGGGGAGGGTGAAGCACTGAGGTGACACTCACCAGTTCTGCCCAGAGGGATGGGAGCTGCAGGGCTCCACAGTGGGGACATCAGCAGCAACTGCTGGAGAAGCTGGGTGTGAACAAGTGACCGGTGACTGGATCACCCCCTTTATTGCTCTTATTTTATAATTAAAAGAACTTCAGCTTTTCTCTTCTCTCCTGTAAATCCACCAAAACACTGCACAGAAAGGTCCTGCGCTCCATCTGTGCGCGCCACCAGCTCTTTGCAGCATGCCAGCACTGGTGCCATGGCAAAACACACGGTAGGACGTGATACTGGGATCAAAAGAGAGGTAATTCCATCAGCCAGGGGGGCTTGGAGCTGCCTGCGGCACACACGCCCTGATGGGGTTGTTTAACAAGTGCTTTGGCCTCATCTGCACCCAGTTTGTGGGAATTAAAGTGTTTATTTTGGGCTCTGGCCAAAGGCTGTTGGATGCTGCCAAGAAATGGAAGTGTCTGAGGCTTCCCCTAGGAAAGCTTTCACCCCTGCAAATACCAAATGGAAAACTATGGGGGGGAAGGAACCTCTCCCAGCTGCTTGGGCATGATCCCCAAATCTACTCCCTGATGCTCTTAGGGCAGGTCTAGGGCAAGGAACGGAGCTGGTTGGAAGGGGGCTGACCCATGGGACACGACACTCACGCCATGTGAATGACTAGAAAATAATTTATTGAAGAAACAGAAAGCTGCAGAAATACAACACAGTCATGACCAGTAGAGGATGAACAAACAGAGAGGCATTCCTTTTTGTCCTCTTCTAAAACCTGTCAATAGGCTGGAGTTTGAGTTTCCTGATCACTTCCCCTGCGCGCGTCATTGCAAAGAACAAGGAACAAACTCCAGAGCACACAGCACAGCTTGGATAAAGTGCCTGACACATAAGACTTTTTTATTATCATTATTATTATTTTTTTCTTTTTTAACGTTTGCAAATAGCTTTAACAAATATAGTTGCAAGACACAGAGGAGTAACAATTGCATTTCGCTGGAGAGCAAAACCTATCCCATGAGAGTAACAAGAAAGCAGCAGCGAAAAGAACCCAACGGAAACAAATCAATGTCATTAGAAGGAAAAAGTCATTTAAAAACTCAAAGATGAGGCCCGCAGTCTGTGTGGGATGAGGACGAGCGTCACCTATTGCTATGCAGATCAATGAGCAGTGTTTTGTGGAGGTGGCTGGACTGGCAAACCTGAGGCTGCAGATTCTTCCTGGCTGGGTTTATTCTGATTTATTTCTTTTTCTTTAGAAATTTAAGGGAAAAAAAGAAGAAAAAAAAAACAAAAAACAAACCCAAAATTTTGTTCTTTGCATTTTTAATTTCTTCTCCTTCAAGACCCCAAACAAAGGCAGACAAAAGAGGACCCGGATCCTGCACGGCAGCGCCTGGAAGGCCAGCCCCAGAGCCGCTGCCTGCACTGCCCCGGCTGCGCGTGTGCTCTGAGACAAGGGAAACGGAGCCCAGGGGCCACCCCAGCATCTCCATGGTGGCCAAGGCAGGTTGAGGATAGAGGTTTAGAATCATGGAATAGAACCATAGAATGGCTTGGGTTGGAAGGGACCCCAAAGCTCATCCAGTCCAACCCACCTGCAATGAGCAGGGACATCTTCACCTAGATCAGGTTGATCAGGACCACATCCCACCTGGCATCTTCCCCACCTGAACTTCGGATGCTCAGGAAAGGGAACATGATTTCTTTTACAAAGCCATTTCTTGGCACGAGGAAGCGCCAGCTCCTGGCCTGCCCTGTGCTGGTGTCCTCAGAGTAGGAAAAGCTCAGCTCTGCCTGTGCCATAGTGGGGTGACAATGGGTATAACCCAGCCTGGAATCCCCCAGAGCCCAGAGGGATGGGGACAGCACTGCCCCACTGCTGACAGTGGGTTTTCAAAGCACAAAAGCCATCGGTTGTAAACTTCCACTCAAGGTAGAACCAGAGTGCCTGGGGTAAGGAAATTACCTGAATTCCTAAAAACTTCCACAAGTGAAGCAGGACACGGTGGCCAGGCTGAACCAGCAGGTCCCAGTGGGAGATCCTGGGTCCCCTCCTCTTCCTCACCCTCTGACCGTTCACTCTCCATCGCCCCTGCGGTTCCTTTTCTTCTCCTGCTCCCCACAGCACAAAAACGCTCTTCAGGGGCGACCCTGGTTGGGAGAATTGTCTTTAGGACAGAGCTTGGATTGTCATTACCTGCAGAGAAAAAAACATCTTTGGTATCACGGCAAGTTGCTCCTCAAGGCATTTTGGTGGATGTGGGCAGCAGGAACGGCCAGATCTGCCTGTGGTTGATCCAACAAGTCCTGATGGGCTAAAGGACAGGGGAGAGTGCTCGGCTCTTGGCTTCTCCAGGGTTTCCCAAGCCACTGGGCTCATGACCCGTGATGGAAATGAGCTGGTGGCTGCAAGATCCAAGGGCTTGTGACTGTGGGTTGCATCCAAGCCTGGTGAGAACTTCTTGTAGTTGGAAACGAGGCATTTGCCTCCAAGCACCAAAGCTTCTCATGCTGGAAAAGGTCTTGAAAGAGGAAATGGGACATTGGAGGGGGAAGAGGAAAAGGGCAGGGATGCAGAGCTCCCCCAAGGGCAGGAGAGTTGGTAGTAGATGAATGGTGCTGCTGGAATAAACATCATCTCTTCCTAAAATCCAGGTCCTTGGTCAGTGGGTCCTATGTCTCCCACCACCACCTGGTATTGAGCATCTCACTGCTGGCCGTGAAGAAGGCAAAGGCTGCAGGGACACTGCATTAGACAAGAGAGGAGATTCAAAACCACCCTGCTTTGCTTTTGGGGGCCGCTTTGGTGGGGCATGAAGAGGTTGAGATCTCTTTCCTCGCATTGGGCTGAGCTTTGTGGCCACCTCTAGAGTTGGAGGCGAAGGATGGGGTGGTGAAGAGGCTGGAGAGGGCCAAGGAGTCAGCACGTTAAGGTAAATGCTTTGGTAATGGTAGAGAAGCAGAAATAATAGGTACCTCTGCCTCCTCCAGGCCTCCATCACCCTCCTGACCTCCAAAGTCCTAACTCCTTGTTGCCTTTAAGCAAAGAGAGGAGGAGGAGCAGGGCGAGGAAGGAGCAGGGGATGCGGAGGGGCTCTCTGGACACTGGCAGAAAGCTCCCTGGCTCTTTAGGGCAGGCAGGGAAACTTCCATCATCCCCTGAGACCTGCGGTGAGCTGGGGTCCCCCAAGACCTCTTCCAATGGCTGGAGTCGTCGTCTTCTTCTTCCCCCTTCACCCAGAGCGGGTGCCTCCATGCAGGGCCAGCGCTGAGCTGGGCGGCACAGGGAAGCCTTCTGGGGCAGCTCCTGTGTGCTGGGTGCTGCCTCTATCCTAAATCACATCCTTGGCAAGACAGCCTCAGAAACGAGTCACTCCAGTCCAACCCCGGGTCTGGTTGGGCATTGATGCAGCACCATCTTCAGCACCTCTGTCTGTGCAGGGTGAGGGCAGAGGCAGGTCTGTGAAGTCATCCCAAGGGATGGGGACTTGGGAGCATCACTTGGAAAGGTCTCAGCCATGGGGTGAGGTTTTGGGGTGCCTGGGGGCCGTTTCCCTTGTCTCAGAGCACACGAGGAGCCCTGTGGCTTTGCCAGCTCAGGTCACGGTGGCTGATTGTCTCTCCTCTTGTCTGCACTCAGGATTTGACCCACAAAGCTGGATAAAGCAAAAGAAAAACCTAAAACGAGCCAAAAACCAAGCCCAAAGCACAGCGAGGGGCCGGTGGGACTGGGTGCAGACGCTGGGGTCCCGTGTCCCACACATCCTTACCCTGTGTGCCGGGCACCCCGTCCTGCCCTGGGGTCCTATGGGCAGCCCCCTGCTTCCCACATCAGCAGGAGCTCAGGAAGGAAAGAGGCAAGGGAAGAAACTGAGGGGGATAAATGGTGACTCTCCCGTGCTTGCATGAGTTGGAAAAGACCATGATCCATGCAGAGACGTCCTCATCAACCGAAAACTCATGGACAAAAGAGAAAAGAGCAGTTTGTCCCCTCCCGCTCCCACCCGACCGCCCCGTCCCCCAATAATTAGTACATTACTTCAAGAAAGAGTATATTTTTTTCATGCATAAATCAAATTCTCATCTTTTTTTTTCTTTTTTTTTGTCATTTTCTTTTGTCTTCTTTAAATTACATTTGAACACAGAACACAGATAATAAATACTCTTGTACGACATGACTCAGAGAAAAGGAACACATCAGAACGCAAAGGTCTCGTCATCGTTATTCGTTTTTGCTTTTTTTTTGTCTTTTTTTTTTTGAAAAGGACTTGTTTTAATATGAAATCTGTAAACTCCAAGGGTCCTTTTTTTGGTTTTTGGTTTTTGGTTTTTTTTGTTTTTTTTAATCTTTCTCTCTTTCTTTCTCTCTTTCCACCGTGAAACTATCCAGCTTTCATCTCCTTAACATTCAATACGTCTCCCACTGAACTCGTCAAAGAAATAAGAACATGCCGTCTTCTGCAAAATTATAATTTAACAGTATAAAGCTTCAAGTCACAAATTCCAAAAACTAGCTAAGTAATTTTTTTTTTTTTATCACATAAACTATACATTAAATATTTTGAGGTATTTCAGAGAACATTGTCAAAGGCTTGTAAGGTCTGTGCCGGATGGAAAAGAAGGCTTTCTCCTGCATAGAGAACGTCTTTGGTATCACAAGCCATGTGGGTATTAGGTAGAAGATGGGTGGCATGGCCACGGGGATGGGCAAGAGCTGGCCAAGGCAATCGTGTGGAGGGGGGACAGGAAAGCAATGGGGATACGGATGCTCTGACCTGCTCTGTCAGGTTGCCTAGCAGCATGGAGCACCCTATGGGGGTCCTGGCTGGGCTTGTTGTCACCAGGGGGTTGCTCTGCACAAGTTGGTCCAACTCAAAAGGAGCCACCTTGGCTGGAGCCTGAACCAAGTAGGTACAATTCAACCCAGGACTTCCCTAAACTAGACATTCTAGAGACTGCTGTGGACAAGCATCTTCTCTGGTGCATCCTCCTGCTGCCTTTTGCTAAAGCCAAGTGGTGGAGTGGTGTGGACCTGGCTGTGCCTATCTCCTCCAACAAGCCAAAAATGCCCCTGTGGGGACTTGGAAATGGTTTGTGCTGAAAGGTGTCGCAGCTCCAACCTGTTCCTCTAAAGGAAGGGTTTGGAGAAACCCCATGCTGAGGCTTCCCACCAGTTCTGCCTTCCCTGTGCTACCAAAAAGGGAAACTGAAGTCCAGGTCTGAGCTGAGGGAGGAAAAAACACCCCATGATGAAGCCCATGTCTTCATCTCTTGGGCTTCTGCAGGGTCCCAGTGCTAGGCTGGGCTGGCAAAGGATATGGAGCAAACACTATCCCTGGGAGCGATGCCCAGTGAGAAGGGACCCAGACACCAAGCCAGTGCTCCTGGGGCAGGGAAGGCTGGATGGGGGGAGCCTGGGGACCATGCCAAGTTGAGGGACACAGGGATGTCTGAGGGGGGAACGCACACCAAGGAACCAGCACCTTTCCCGCAGCAGGCGACGAGGGGGATACTTTCCCTTCAATCAGGACAAGGGCTGGGTTTCCTTCCTCCATCCCAACACCCAAAGCCTACAGAGATGCCAGAATCTGTCCCTTTGGAGAGCGAAGGTAATAGTGAGTCTTTAGGATCAAAGCAGAGGAGCAAAGAAATGGCCACACACCTTTGGTACAAGAAAAAGGCACTCATCTACCACGCCGCCATCCCAGGGTCGCTCGCTTGCCTTCTCCCTCGCTCTCTGGGGACTCCACAGGGCTGGGGAAGGGGGGATTTAGGGGGTGCTGAGGGGCTCTCGGCCAGGGTGAAAGGGGGGGGTCTCGGCCGGCTTGGCCGCAGGAGCAGGGAAAGTGGCATTTCCAGCACAGACCAGACAAGGCAACAAAATCTTTGGTATCAGACGTGATTTTCAAATCACAAAAATTGAAAACTCAAGTGAGGTAGCCTTTATTCTCGGGTTCTCACTAGAAATGTCTTTGCATCCTTGAGGGCCTGTGGCATTTACTCTTTTTTTCTTTTTTTTTTTCCCCTTTTTCTTTCTTTTCCTTTTTTTCCCTTTTTTTTTTCTTTTTTTTTTTTTGTTTGATTTTGGTTTTCCATGTGTTTTGGTGTTTTGTTTTTTTTTTTTCTCAATTCCCAAACCAAGGCCCCCTTCCTGGCTTTTCAGCCCTTGAATACTACTGGATGGTGTTCAGGAATCCACCACCATCATCACCATGTCACGACAAGACAAGAAGAAACAACATCAGGGGAAAAATCAGTGGCAGGGACTGGGGTCCTGGGGGATGAGATTCGCTTTTTTGGGTTGTGGTTGGCAAAATACGCTCCGGCACCTGCCCCTTCCCGCTCCTTCTCTCTCTCCATCCCTCTCTTTCCAGCAATAAACTGGTTTAGTTTGGTGTCCAGTCTGACACCCCCAACCCTTCCACCACTCACCTACCCCAGGAGCTCTTTGTTTAAAGACATCCCCTAAACCCACCGGTGACCATGGCCGGTCAGGGCTTCATGTGCAGGGGTTTTCCTTTCTCTCTTTTATTCTTATTGTCATTTCTTTCCTATATATATATTTCCTTTTTTTTTGGGGGGGGGAAGGTTGGTTTTGGGGTTGGGTTTTTTTTGGTGAACATATACATTTCCTTTTTCTTTCTCCTTTTATCCTTCTTTTCAACAAGGTGCCTTCCTGTTCCACAACTGGTCGCTCTCAAAGTAAAGTGAATCTAAGAAACCATAGCGCTAGAACACAGATGGTACTATTTTACCCGCATAAATTCAATAGTGTCCCCTTTGGTTTTTGGTTGACGGTTGGTTTTTGGAGGATTATCTCTTTTCCCCCAAGTGGTTGAGGGGGGGAAGGAGGGGACCTCGCCTCCCTCTCCATCCCCAAGCCTCTCCCAGCGTTTCCCTGTCTCCCCTTTGGACCGCCTGCTCCTCCTGAGGACACCCCAGGCTGGCAGGGAGCTGGCAGGGTGGCTGGGCCGAGGGTTGATTGTAAGGGTTTGGCCTCGTGATTGCTTTTTTATATGGCACAAGTCACCATCGAGAGCTCGGAGGAAACGACCGTTTTGAAGCTTAGTACCATTGCTCCAGAAATTCCCGTTTTAAGGCAGGTTGTAAATTGGCACAAACGAAAAAGAAAACAGCAACAAAAATCCGGCGTCTGTTTTGGTTAAGTTGCCGGTCTTGGCGTTGAGTTGGTTGTGGTTCCTGTTGGTAACTCCTTTCTTTTGGGTTGCGGGGTTGGTTTTTTTCTCCCTTTTCAATCTCATCTGGGAAGTTTTCCCCTTTTTAAACCCAGGGATGGATCTCACCACCAGACCCCTGGGATTTTTCTTTTCCCACCGTCCACCGACACCGGTTCCCAAGGAGGGGAATTTTTTTGTGGTTGGGTTTTTTTGGTTTTGCAATTTCTTTGGTAACAGTGATGAAGAGGGGGGATGGGAAGGGGCAATAAGTGTTTGTTGAGGGGTGGATGGTGCAAGACACAAAGCCAACAGATCTGCTTTGTCTGTGTCCATTCCTCAACCGAAAAGTGAACCAGAAATCCAGTGGTGAATGTGGAGCCAGTCACCAGGAAAGATCAGATCCTTCGCTCCAAGTCTCTCCTCCCGTCTCCTTTCAAACAATTATAATCTTTAAATACCCGATTTCTGTAGCTAAAATGTGCTTCTTTGACCTGCTTGAGCGCCAGGCGACGCGGTGCAGCCGCGGTCCCCTCTGGCTGTGGCGCCGGGGGATGCTCGGGTGCATGGAGGCGGGTGGCCACGGCAAAGAGTCTCCTTTGTCGTGGAGTTCCTCTGGCAGGGATCCGGGGATGGGTGCTCTCGTGGGTCAGGGTGCATGTGTGCATGGGGGGGGGGGTAGGTGTGGGTGCTCTTGGGGATGTCCAAGGGGAGGGTTGGAGGAAGATGCCCATGGAGGAGGCTGGGGCTACAGGAATGCCCTCAACCAGGTTTCAAACCCTTCAAGGGAGAGGAATGCAAGGGAGTGTGTCAGTGGCAAGGAGGGTCAGGCTCATGGGGAGCATTTTTCCTGCACGTTCCCCTGTGAATCAAGGGGGGATTCGCCTTGGTTCAGCGGGGTTGTGCCAGAGCCCAGCCCCATGACTCCACTTCTTGTATCTCCCCCACCTTTCCCCCTCCACCATGGGAGCCATAAGGATGGCTGTGGCACAGATTGAGGTTTGGGTAGGGTCAGGACATGTCCCTCTCCCCAGTGACCCTGGTGGGCAGGTGAAGACAACGTTTTGTGGTCCTTGAGGACCAGGGATGCATCCAAACAGCCCCTCGCCCTCTTCCTCCATCCCAAGTCATTTCTTGCTCCACACAGGTTTCCTCCGAGCCCTCCCAGGTATGGAGCTGATCTGGTTGCAAACCCTTTCCCTGCCCCACGAGCTGGGAGGACATGGCAGCAGGATGTGGCATGAGGCCGATGTCCAGGGGTGATGCCTGGCTGAGGGTTTGGGAGGCTGATGGACCTGCAGCATCCAAAAGCACCCACCCTGGTTGGCTCGGGACATGCGTGTGAGTCTGGGGTTGGCTTTGTCATGAGGAGGATGTCCAAGAAGGGGCAGGGAGGGCTGGGGGACATCATGCTTTGGAGAAAGTGCTTGTAGAAGAAGAGGGGACTCCAGGGTTGGCGCCTGGCTCCTCCTGCCAGCGGTTCATACACCGCCGGCGGGCATTCATGAAGAAGTTGCTGACGGTGTTGAGCTCCAAGCCCAGCTGCTGCGAGATGGTCATCTGCATCTCCTTGGATGGGCGCTTGTTCTCCTTGAAGATGGCGATCAGGGTGCGGCGCTGGAGGTCCGTGAAGACCAGCCGCTGCTTCTTGGGCTGCAGGCTCCTGTCTTTCTGCTGCTCTTGCTCTTTGCGTTTGCAAGCTAGATGTTCAAAAGAGAGAACAGGGCCATTAATTGGTGCTCACCACCCTGGCCCGCTTGCAGGTTGCTTGGCTGCCTCGTAAAATCCAGGCCCTTCCCTCCAGTAAACCTGCTGGCTTGCTGCCCACAAGTCCCTAGGCTACCTCCCTCCTCTTCCTCCCTGCGCCTCCTGAGTGTCTGCTGAGATGGGATGACAGCAACATCACTATGAGGAAAGCTTGGGTGAAGCCCATCACCTCTTCAGATGCCCAGGGAAAGTCCCAACATCTCCAGCTGACCCTGGGACTAGAGACTGAGGTAACTCCTGGGCTGGCAGACTCGCTGTGGGGACCTGCTCCATCCCTAAATTTTGGGGGTCATCCATCGGCTTCCCTCATCTCCTCATCACCTCTGTGGATCTCACCGGAGGACTCAGGGAAGTGGTGTCTCTTGGCCATCACATCAGCTGCCAGCTTGGACATACAGGAAGAGCCAGGGACAGGGACACTGTTAAAAGGTCAGTCTGCAGCCAACGTGTCCCACAGCAGACAGCCTGGAAGGACTGTTCATGGTTCCACCTGCTCTGGGAAGGAGTTTTCCTGCTTTCAAAGGCTAGAGAACACCTAAAGTACCAGGAAATTCAGTCTCCTCTGCATGCCTTTGCTACCAGATCCTTTGGCACTTGTGTCAGGTTGAGCCAGCACCAAATCAGACCTTCCCTACAGGTTTGGCTTGAGCCAAAGGTCAGGAGAAAGGTGCTGTCACATACAGATGGGCTGCATAGAGACAGGAAATGTCCCCTGACACCATCATGAGTCATACAAGGGATGGGGAGAGGTGATTATTCACCTCATCTTATATATAGGGATTTTAATTGCAGGAATATCAAGAACTGGTGGTGAAAGTGGTGAGAAAAGGTGCCCTTTGCTAGGATATTTTTCTATAAAATGATATAACAAGTGAGTTTGTGCAGTGCTGGTCTATACTCAAAGCAGGGCCAACCTTGAAGCTGCTGAAGTTAGATCAGGGTGCTCAGGGACTTGGCCAGACACATGCAGACACTGGAGGAGTGTAAGATGCCCGTGGGAAAGGCAGGGCATGGGTCTGGCCTCCAAGGTTGAGGGCAGATGGAAAGCTCAAGAAAGCGTGAGTAAACCAGGGGCTAAAGACTTCCCAAGGCAAGTCCCACTCTTGGCCTGAGCAAGCAGCAGTTTTCAGCCTTTGGGGTTTCTTGGTTAGGATCTTCCAAAGGATTTTGCTGGGAGGGCACAGGTCCTTCGAGACGTTGGCTGTTGGAACCTTGCTCGATGACAGAGTTCAACTTGCTTCTCCCAGGTACTTCCAGGAGCCTCTTCGACCTGGTGCACAGTCCTTGGAGGGGCCAGAGGCCAAGGCTGGAAGCTGATGCCACAGCGATGGGATGGCACCTTGGGTCCACACAACAGGTATTCCCCTCAGGCTAACTACCTTCCTGCTACACAGATGCACCTCCTCGGCCAGGCTGAGTAAAAGGGTAGGCATCCATGTATCCCAGGAGTAACAGGAGGATGTTTGAAGTGATTTCTTCCTCACTAGAGAACACGCAAGGTCTTCTTCAGCTGGCCTGCACTACAAGTCCCCTTTACAACCCCTTGAACTAACAGGGAAGGATGATATCCACCCCTTCCACCCAAAGCTGGGGACATCTAGAGTTCAGTGAAACACATCATTTATCCAGTACATTTAGCCTGGTTTCCCCAGCTGCTGGGGTCGGTCCCTGCCCCATCCCCAGGCAGGTGGTGGAAACCATCAGTTCTGGTCCCACTGGGGCAGGGGGAAAAGGAGGCACCAAGCAACCACACTCAGAATCAGTCTCCTTGGTAAAGATGGTTCATGGAGAGCCTTCCCCTCCCCTTCTCCCCCCTCGGGCAGGTTTGGCTGCAAACCATCATCCTTAGGGACAAAGGACAGTCTGAGCCCTGGTTGTGCCGGGGGACCCTGTCCCAGGGGTACCATACTCAAACAGCCAGCAGAGAATGGGTTAGTGGAAACCTACCCTATGACCATCAGATGCTTGCAAAAAGAACAAACAAAAAGAAGGCTTTATAGAAAATTTGACTTTTTTTTCCCCCCCGAACGTCCCCCAAACCAAGCAACAAGCAGAAGGTCCACACACACACACACACACACACAGAGAGAGCACGTGCACATTCGGAACAGCACAGCTTCACCCACCCACCGCGCGCCCTCCCAGGATCCCCTCAGCATCCCCCCGGCATGCTTGGCTCCAGCCCCATACTGGTGGGACCTCATGTCCATGGTGGGCACCTCACCCACTCCCTGTGAGCACGGCTTTTGCTCTGCGTGGATGGCACTTATCTGTGTCTGCCATACACACACCAAGCACAGGTAGCTGTAAATACATCCACCCCTCCATGAAGCCACTGGGATCCACGTTGTCCTCTTGCTCTGCTGTCTGTGGGCACCCATTCCCACCAGCAGCGCTGCACAGCCAGCCTGACCCCCAGATTCCAGCTTTTCAACCCCACATTCCCTCATCCCTGTTCCATTTTTAGGAGTAATTATCACAGACCAGTCTCCCATTAAGGACTCACAGCTCCAAGGCAAACACAACCATCACGGTGTTGCTCGTACAACCGTGATCCAGCGTGAAAACTGAGTCTTGCTTCACCCTGCTCCACAACCCCCCCATTCCCCCCTCACTTTGGAGCTGGAATGCCGCCGCCGGCCGCAATCCCACATTTCCTGTGCTCGTTTTGTTTATTTATTAATTCCTTTTTCTGCTGACGCAGCCCAACACCCCTCTTCCCCACTTCAATCTAATTACAGCTCCGCACAACAGGGATCGATAGTGACGCTGCTCAGATCTATTTACGACGACCATCAACCCCCCTAAGGAGGATCTTTTTCCTATTCCCCATCCCCCGGGCGCTGCTTTCCCACTGGGTCTGTCCCCGTGTTCCCACAAACGGTGGGAGATGGGGACAAGGGGTAGCCAGGGGCATGGCTCTGACTCCCCCCCCCCCAGCTCAGTGTAAGGTAAGGGGTTTCCTTTGTGCTTCAAACTCTGTTTTTCAATGTTAAGATCCAAAGGGCTCGTCTTGGGCTTCAGGCACATCCTTCCAGGGACTCCTAGGGGATGGGGACATGCTTCTGCGTTATCCCCCCCAGCAAATGCCCAAGCCATGGGGTTTATTCCCTGGCTTGCCCTGCTCCTCCTGGTGCACAGGAGATCCTGGCAGTACCACCAGTGGGAGAGAGATGGATTGGGGTTCCCATGGGCAGGGCGTTTGCTCTGTCGGCCAGTAAGGGCTTGTGTTCACCCACGATGGGAGGTCTTTCTCTCCTCTCTCCATCTGTCCCCAATTCAATCCACAACGCCTGCACCCCTGAGACCTCCACAGCTCAAACCACGCTTGGCCGACCAGTGCAGAAGTGACCAGGAGGGAATGGCACAGTGGGATGGGATGGCTGCACAGAGGCCCTGCCTTCCACACACCAGGGACGCAGCACTGCATCCCCAAGGTAGCTGACCTGGCTGTGGAACAGCCACAGGGAGCAAAGAGAAGGGGGGCAAAAGCAGGAGGAAAGACCTCTGGAAGCAGAGGCATCCCACCCTCTGCCGAGGGTTTCTGCCTCCCTGGACACTTATGTCAGAGGGAGAGCGTTTTCCTTGACTTAACCTTGACAGCTCAAAGCAAAATATCTCCCAAATCATTTCTAAAGGGACATAATAGAGACAATTAAATGGCTGCTCTTCAGAAGCTGCGATTATGCCTCGCAGCGTGAACTCCGTGAAGCATTTAACTAATACCTGATGGCTTTGCAGGCTTCTGCAGCCAGCCAGACCCGGGGTTCTCTATTATACCCGCAAACCTCTGTTTTCCCAGCCCCAGCGTGCTCTCCCTCTCCATTCACTTGCAATACAACCTGTAATTTTCTGCCCACTTTGCTTAAGTGCGGGTGATTTGTTGAAATCACAAAAGAGAGCCAGGGGCTTTCAGAGCCAGTGCTGGCTGTAAGCAAGGTGAGGGGGAACAAAAACCCACCGGCTTTTCTCTTTTTCTCCCTGTCAAATCAGCTCACCACGGTGCAAGGGGACGGAGGAGCATTTAGGGGCTCGAAGTGAAGTGGAGGAAGGGATGGAGAGAGGGTACGTGGATGGGGTTGGCCAGGTTGGTACACGTTTCTCTGGTGCAGTGGTAGGATGGGCTCTTTTCGCTGGGGAGAGAAATGGCCCTGAGCAAAGCTGGCTTCTCCCCATGCCTTCAAGAGGGGTCTAGCCCCTGGGCTGCCTCAGTTTCCCCCTCTCCTCGAACAGGCAGAGGGATGTGAACCGCTGTCACAGAGAAGGGGAGGCTGTGTCCAGGGCTGCACAATGGCTGTTACTGGTTCACACCCTGACCCAGTATTCTGGAAGGTTTGGGGAGCTGCACCTCTGAGCAAACTGGGATGAGCCCAGTGCCTCCCACAGCAGAGCAGGGTCTGATCCTGAGTTGAATTAACCTCATGGCAGCCCCTTCCCCAAATCTGGTACAGAGTCAGGACCAGCGATCAGGGGGCTTCGTCTGCAAACCAGAAATCCTTTGGTCCACAGCTGGGTCATTAGGATGCTCAGAGCTGGGGTAATTTAGAAGCTGAGAGATGTTTGTTTGACTTCTCTACACTGTAGGGAAAGAGCCCAAAGAGTTTTGTCACAAACGGGCATCTCCAGCAGAAATCCAAGTCTTCTCCAGATGGGAAGACTCAGTGCTGTCAGGAGAACCCCCGGAACACAGTGCAGGAAGAAAGAGCTCACAAATCAACACCAAACTTTCCTTTTGCCTTTTTCTTACACCCCATTGGATTCCAAAACCTAGCAAATGCAGAGGCAAAGGGGATATAAACAGGGTCACCCACACAACCACTGCACTGCACTGCAAACACCACCCTGGAACGCTGCAACGCTGTGATCCCCCAGGCTTCAGCAAAGAGCCCCCAACCTTCTGGGCTCCAAAACCTGTGGGCATTTTGAGCACTGTGGTCCCGAAGCATCGGCCAACTTTGAACCACACCAAAGAGAAACTGCCTTGCACTAATGCTCAGAGGCCATCCCGAGCCCAAGAGATGCAGTTAGGGGCTGTGATGTGTCTGCAGAGCTGCAACCTCAAAGTCCTGCTGGTTCAGAGTGACACGGTCTGGCCACAGCTCCTGGCCCCACTATGTCCCTGTGCCATGGCCCTGCCTCAGTGGGGACAGGCTCCCCCACTGGTGTCCCTGCATCCCGAGGCATGGGGAGAGCCCCTGGTCATTGGTATGCAGCCAGTGCGCTGCAGGGTGAGCCGCTTCCCCAAGCCCAGCAAATGAAATCTTCCTCGGAACGCTGCAAATGAGGAGATGAGATGAGACAAAGCGCTCACCCCTGCGTTGCTGGGCGCTGTTTTCCTTCCCTTGTAAAGGGTTTCAGTGAGTTGTTCCAGGGAGCTGCTTTCGTCAGCCCGGATGGGGCTGCGAGGAGCCAGCAGCCACCTGCATCAACCTCCCCAGCCCATTCCCCAGCAACCCAGGGGCTGTTGGGGCAGCGCAGGTTGGCAGGAGGAGGAAGGACTGGAAATGAAAGCAGAAGTCTTTGTTCCTCCACTCGGTTGAGAACGGTTGCTCCCTAGAAGGGGGGCTCAGCTGGAGGAGCCACCCAAACCTGCAGCAAAGCAGCCGATGCCAGCCCCAGGGGATGCCTCTTTTTCCCTCTCCTGCACTTCTCAAGGTCTGGATTTTCATGGCATGGCATTTTCAGCTTTCCCAGTGCTGAAGCAGATGAGCTGCTCTGGTCCGAGGGTGGGTGAAGGGACACAGAGAAGCTGTGGTGGCTGCAGGTGCGCTTGGCTCCATCCATCCCCACCTGCCCTAGTTTTATTCCTGTCCTTTCCAGGTAAGCTGCTACCAGAGGCAGCTGCATCATCCCCGTCTCATGGACACAAAACAAACCATTGCAGACGGATTAAAAACGTGGGTTCGTTGTTAAAAGCATTTCCTCTCTGCACGAGTCTGACTTTACACTTGCTTTGCCAAGAGACCTTCCCAAACGGAGACCCGGTGCCCCGCTCTGCTCTCCCAGCACTGGGGTGAACCAAGCTCAGCTCCCAGCTCCATCACATCTGCTGGCAAAGTCACTTCCCAGCTCTGCCCCAGTTCTTCCCTTTCTAGGCCTTTTTTCCGGACCAGGGTCAGCTGCTCCTTATTGTCCCAGCGGAGATCACCGCCAGCATAGCCCAGGACCAGCCCAGCGCCTGGTGTGCGGCAGGGCCGGCAGATGCGCCCCGGCAGTCCTGCCGCCTGCTCCGCTCTCCTCACTGTTCTCCTGAGTCATCCCCACTTAGCGTGACGAGGGCAAATTGGTGCTAATGAAGTGCTGGAGTCAGGCAGCGGCAGGCAGGAGGCAGCAGCGCCGCGAGGGATGGCAGCAGCAGGGGAAGGCTGTGGAGGGGGGCAGCTGGAAACGCTCCCAAGCCCTGAAATGAGTTCTCCTTGGGGACATCAACGCTTGCTCCTGCTCAGCTGCGGCGCAGGAGCCTCAGCGCTTGCCTGATCTGGTGGGAAAAAGGCAGCCTGAGGTTCAATTTGTGCCATAGCCACAGGGAGAACCAAGTCACCCTGGGCAAAACCCCACGGCTGCGGATCCTGTGCAGTCCAGCTCTGCCCTTGCTCCTCCACGCAGCATGGATCTGCCTTTGGCATCGGGCACATCACTAAGGGATTCTCATCAGCTCGTTCCTCTTGGGCTCCTCCTGCCAAGCTCCCGCTGCCTCCAGCAGCTCCCAGATCCAAGTGGGAGCAATGCACGAACTCAGCAATCAATGGCACGTATTTCATCAGGGCACTTGTTGCTCCCAAGCTGCTCTTGGTGGAGAGATGGAGCCCAGAGAGAGCCCAGAGCCATTATCAGCCGCGGAACTCTTGCTGGAGAGAGGGGAAAGCAATAAAGGGGAAACGAACAGCTCTCTGCCCTTCCTGATTACACCTGGCCTGGGGTGCCTGGGCTGGATTCAGCCGGTGTGGAATGGGAAGCTCCCTTAGGGTTTGGCCGAGTCGGTTCTTGGATGGCTGCCGGCATTCCTGCTCTGCAGTGCAGGAAGATGAGGAATCAGTCCTCCCCGCTGGGGGTCCGGGTTTGCTGCACCCCAGTTTGAGACCCTCTGAAGGCCGCTGGGAAGCCCAAGCAGGGGCACTGCTGCTCTCGGGTATCCCTTAGCTCCAGCAGCAGGGAGCTTCCAGATCCGAGCCCTTCCCTGGCGCCAGGCCCTGCTCCCGAAGGTGCTGGCGCTCTCAAGGGGGTTTTCAGCCCAATGAGGTCTGAGAGCATCCCCATTCCCAGCTATGGGACAAGGCTGCCCATGGAGCAGGACAGGGCCAGGAGGGAACCCAACGCAGTCACCACGCACTGCAGAGGACTCATCCTGCCCAAGGGGCCAGGGGCTGCTCAGGGCGGGGGTGACCCGACACCCGGTGAGACCCAACGGACCCCATCATCGCCGCCATCTTGGAGCGCCGATCGCGCCCCCTCTCGGCGGGCAATGGTTTGTTCCGCGCCCCTCTCCCCTCGCAGACCTCATGGGCCGTCCCCGCCGCGCTGGCGCCCCCCTGCGGTGGACGGGCTCATTTCCCGGCCCCCCCCCCCCTGCGCCGCACAGAGCAATGGGCCCTTCCCGCAGCCCCGCACACCATGGGGCGAACGGCGATGGAGCGGTCCAACCGCGTTCCGGGGGGGGGGGGAACGGGGCGGAAGGCGACGGGGCCCGCCATCCGCGGAGCTGCCCCCGTTGTCACCCCATACAGTGTCCTATCACCGCCCCATCACTGCCCCACACACTGCACCATCACCACCCCACAAACAACCCCGTGGTTGCCACGCCATCGCCATGTAGGGTCCCATCACTGCGCAATGGCTGCCCCATTGCTCCCCAATGGCTGCCCCACCGGTACCCCATGTAGTGCCCCATCACCATGCAGTCGCTGCCCCATCTTGCCCCACAAACAACCCCACTGCTGCCCCACAGACCACCATCACCCCCGTCCTGGCCAAGTCCTCCCCAGTACCTGCTGCCATCGGGGTGGCTCACTCGGTCCCCCCTCACGCGTGGGGCTGACACAGTGCAGCCGGCGCTAAGCCAGTGGCTCTTAATACACCACTCCAGCGTTATTAGTTCAGCTCCCAAGGCATTTCCCGCAGTAATTGCACTGATCTGCCAGGGATTACGCGCTGCCGCTGTAACGATGGATGATGTTTTAATTCCAGCCGGGCCCCGTGGGGAGGGCAGGGCAGGGACCGAGACCCCCGCGCACCAGGACAGGAAGGATGGGCCTGGATGGATGCTCCTGTGAGGGGCTCTGGGATGAGAAGCAGCCAGAAACCTGAACCCCATTGGGTGACCAAGCGGTTCCCTGCGCAGGGAACACCAGTGATCCTGGCTGGCTGCGGTTCAGCATCCCCCTGGGGCTGCAAAGCAGCCGGGAATGCTCCTGAGTGGCTGTGGAGGACCCTTCCCAGCTCCCAAATCACTGCTGTTGTGGGGCAGTGACAAGCCCCGGCTGTGTCTGCCCCTGGATCCTGCTCACTGCTCATCTCCGACTGTCCTGCAAGGAGGGAAGCTCCTTCTGCCCTGCAGGAAACCTGGAGAGGGGCTTGGGACAAGGGCCTGTAGGGACAGGCCAAGGGGAATGGCTTGAACCTGCCTGAGGGGAGACTGAGCTGAGCTCTTAGGCAGAAGCTCTTCCCTGTGAGGGTGCTGAGGCGCTGGCACAGGGTGCCCAGAGAAGCTGTGGCTGCCCCATCCCTGGCAGTGCTCAAGGCCAGGTTGGACACAGGGGCTTGGAGCAAGCTGCTCCAGTGGAAGGGGTTAGAACTGGATGAGCTTTAAGGTCCCTTCAACCCAAACCGGGCTGGGATTCTGTGATTCCTCCCATTTGAGCACAGCGAGGAAAATCCCCCCCCCCTCCCAATGCTACCTTTAAAAATGACCCCCACACAGAGCTGCTCCTTCTGGTAAAGCAGCAATTAATCACGGCAAGTATAGGATGGATTTGTAATCAGCTCCCCGCCTCCCACTGCCCCCACTGCACAGCCCTGGGTATTTTTCCTACCCCCGCCCCTCCCCGCTGTGGGGCTGGGGCCAGCGGAGCCATTGATCCAACCCAGTCGATTTTATTGAAACTCCCACGAGTGGCTTTAGCTGCGTGTTGGATATTGCTGGCGCATCAGTTTGATGGCTACGTGACCGGCGGGGAGCTGCGGGCAGGTCTGCAGGGAGGGGGGTGAAGGGGAAGGGGCTGTGGGAGCAGGGATGAATCCCCATGGAGCTGCGTTGGTCCTTGGGTGGGAGCTGCCGGTCCCAGGGGCTTCTGCTCAAAGGTGGGAGAGTGAAATGTAAGGGCATGGCTGGGGGGTGGAGGGGTGGTGAAATAAAAAGGTGGAAAAGGAAGAAAAGAGAAAGGAAAAAGAAAAAAGGATAAAAAAAAAAAAAGAAGAAAGAGAAAACAAGAAAGAGGGAAGAAAAGAGAGAAAAGGGGAAAAGTAAAAAGAGAAAATTAAGAGGCAAAGAGAAGACAGAAGAAGATGGAAGAGAGATGAGAGAAGCGAGAGAATATTAAGAGGAGGAGGAAAATGAAAAGCATAAAAAATGGAAAAGACAAAATAAGAAAGAAGAATAAGAAAGAAAAAAAGAGAAAGAAAAGGAAAAATAAAAGGAAAAAGAAAAAGGAAAAAAAGGAAAAGAGAAAAAAAAAAGTTGGAGCTGGCTGGAACAAAATCATCATCCAGAGAAAGTATAAACCCTCCATAAACACCACTGGAAAAGCTCCTGAGGCCAATGGGGGCACCCTGACTAACCCCATGTTCCCCCTAGAGTCCTTTTCCCAGGGGGATGATGGCGCTGCAATGGCACCCCCCAGCTCTGCCTGTATCAGTTAAGCATATTCTCCTGCAGAGAGCAGGGCCGATGCTCCTCCACCCCCAGGCACCCGCCAATGGGGCAACTGCCTCATGACGGTGTCAAGAAGCAAAGCAAATAAGTAATGTGGGTTTTTAGCTCGAGGTGTGGAAGCAGAGGAATGGCTGGGAATGGTCTGTTTGGAGCTGAAAAGGGGAGATGCTATCCAATTTCCTCCAGGAAAAGCAAGCTGGTTTGAAACCATTATTAGTTTGAATAAATGCCCTGATTTGGAAGAATCATCTTTAAATTCCTTGATTTTAATCTTGGTGTGGAAAGCACCTGATGATACCCTCGCTCTTCACAGCGTTTTTGCCTTGTTTCTGACCCATCGGAACCAAACCGGGCTCCGATGCAAACACCCACCTCACCACACAACACGTGAAATGCACATGAAATCGAGCCCTAAATCAAGCACAAACCCACTTCTGGCTGCCTATGTGTGTGGGTGAGTGCTTCTGGGGGGTCCAGTTGGAGCCCTGCCATAGGGGAGCTCCCCTGGGAATATCAGGGTAAAGGTTTGCTGCCTTCTGTGTGAGAAATGGCATCAAAATCCCGACCCTTGTTCCCAGAAAGAGAACTAAAGGTGGGCATTGAGCCATAGATCCGTTTCCAGAGGCCTCTTGTTAAAGCCTTGGGTCCCTCTAAGCGACTCCAAAGCCTGGCAGTGCAGTGCCATCATCCCACCCTCCCTCTTCCTCCTCACCCTCTGTGCACTGGGAGGCAGATGGGGAAGGGGCCACCCCACCATGGGAAGGCTTTGGAAGCAGAAACCACCACAGCATCAACCCCATCGTGTTCATTCAAGCATCCCATTTGAGCCAAACTGGGTCCGGTGCTGGTCCACCCACCAAGCAACCACTGAGCAAACCCCATTGGAGATCCATCCCCCATCCTGGGTTGTGATTTATGTGCGGGGATGCAGGTCCAGGGCAAAAACAAAGAGTAGGGCCAGATCTGTGGAGTAATTTCAAGGATGGGGTGCTGCATGCAGGCACCGGTGTCATTGCTACGCGCTGCTGCGACAGGGTCTCTGATGCTCGGTGGTGGAAGCGGCCTTTGCTGGCGGCTGAGCTGAGCCGTTGATGTCTCTGTCAGCCCCTGATGCTATCACCCGTCAGCAGCTCCCAATACATTTGCAATTTTATCCCTAATGGAGAGAGTTTGCTCATTACCTGCTCTTTATCGGTAGCATGACTCCCACAAAGGGGCATCCCTCATCTTCTAGCTTAAAGGTTTGGCCTTTTATGTGGCACCACTGAGTTCCTTGGCTTCAACAACCCAGTGCTGAGCTGTTGAGGCTGGGCACATCATGGTGGGGGATCCTTGGGGGGACCATCTCCTTTGCAGCCCTTTGAGGACTGCTTCGGCACGAGCCGTATCCCTTGGTTTTGCTCCACTTTGGGTTTTTATAGGCTTCCTGACAGCCAAACCTGAGGCACCGGGTTCCAGCCGTGCCCTCCCAGCACTCCTTAATCCTGCCAGACCTCAATATTTAGGGCTCCCTGGATTCATGTGGGAAGCAAGATACATCAGTTCTCCTTTGGACCTGGATAGGAGACCAGCAGCCCCCTGCTCCTCTTGCTGCCTCCTCCTGCAGAGCCTTGGGCTCAACAGAGCTGGGTCAGTTACCGCTGCCTGTGCCAGCAGCAGCAGAAAAAGCTGCCGTTTGCCTTTCTTTCATATGGTTTTTTGTCAAGATGCTGGGGTTTTCCTCATTGCAGTGCACAGAGGTGACGGTCACTCCCAGCATCACACAACCTGCTCTCCCCTCAGCAGGCTCCTGCATGGGGATTGCCTGCCTCCTTCTCCCAAGCTAGGCCCAGCCAAGCCACCCCTACCCTGCCAGGGGTGATGAGGTTACTCAGACCCCAAAGGGATCACTCCTGCTTGGTGCTTTGTATACAGGCAATTGCAGAGGTACAGATCCAAGGCATGGCGACAAGTCCAGGTCTCCCTTTGAGGACATTGTCCAATGGTGGTGGCATCTGTCCTTCCCCACATTAGAGGCCAGGCAGCAAATTAAACCCCCCATCTCCCCAGACTCAGCTCACAGCAACACCAAGTCCTCCAGCATAAAGGAAACAGAGCTTGGTCCGCTTGCAGCAACAAGGTCCTGCAGTGCAGAGCTTGGAGGCAAAACCCCAGGGATGAGATGGCGAAGGAAAGGATCATCACTGACCACAACCAGGGGGGAAAAAGCCGGTACCCACAGTGGGATGGAGCCAGGAAATACGAGCATCCTCTCTGCAGCACTGCTCATGTCAGCCCAACACTTTACCCATATCCCACCCCTTGTGAGTGCATGTGGGTGTGCATGGGTGCACCCCCCCCTTGCCATGCGGCACCTCCAGCACTGCATTTGCCCTGGTGAAGCATTGCCATCTCTATGCCTTAACTTTACCTCCCACAAAACACCTTGAATCCCATTGAATCAATTTAAGTAATTTCTGGCCCTCCTTGCCTTGCTCCCCCAGAAACCAACAGCACTTAGAGCGATGGTACATATCCCCAGCAGAATAGATATATACGTTAAGGCAGAGTTATTAAGGTCATTCTTGAAACGATCCATGCAAATATGTCTTGATTTCAATATTAGGTCTTTATTTTTTAAATGCCCTGGTCCCTTTTTCTGGCACCAGAGAATCCAGGTTGCCTTTTTGGTTCTCTGTCTTTTAACAACCCTAAATGTTTTAAAAGCCCATCATCTGCTTTGCTTGCTGGAGATGGTCTTAAATCATTTGAGGTATTAACAAGACTTTTGATTTTCTGTTCCATCAGCAAAATCTTGCCACTTGATGGCCACGGTCCTGCACAGAGCCAGTAAGAAATGCACTCAGCTGCCAAAAACTGCTGCCGGCTGCTCGCCAGCCCCTCACTGCCCCAGCACATACCCACATCGCTCCCGCTGCACCCATCCAGCATCGCTTTTGGCTGAGGTTGGAGGCAATTTTTGGCTTCAACTTCCCTTTTTGGTCCATTTTCCAAACCAGGGGCTGAGCTCAGGCCCTCTGCTCTGCTGCTGGTGCTGTGTGGGAGCAGGGTGCATCCCGGCTTGGTTGGACACATCCCAGGTTGATGATACACATCCCAGGATAACTGAAGTCTCAGCTTGATGCTGAGCCATGGGATTTGTGTAGCTCAGCTCCAGAAAGGAAGCTGGGGTAGATGTGCACCATTTTGTGGATGTGGGGTGAGGGGGGATCAAAGCCACCTAAAGGCTCCATCCATACTCAGGGTGCTGGGCTCCCTCTGTTCAAGCCTTCCCAAGAAACCTCAGGAAATCAGGCAGCAAGGAAGAAAACTCTTCCCCCATCCAACAAGGTGCTGATGCTGGGAGGTGACGGGTCCAGCTTCTGCTGAGAACAGGGAGGCAGCAATTCCTGCAGGAAACACAGCCCATCCTATGGCAGCAGCATCCCAGACTGCACCGCAAGGTGTGCAGCCGGAGGTCTCCGAGTCCCCACCAAGCTGCAAAGCCCCAGCCCAGCCTTTCGAGCCATGGTTTAAATAAAACGGACTTTTCCCTCTTATTTTGGTGTTTCTTTTGCATTGCCACACTGCCACAGGCCCTGCAAAGGCTTTGTGCGAGGAGACACACGCACCCAGGAGGTTTCCATGAGGGATTTCTAGTTCCTCTGCACCCAGGCAATGCTGAAGGGATGCTAGGGAAGGTGAGGAGCTGTGCCCAGGGCAGGGTGGGATATTCCCAGGGCAGGAAAACAGGCACCTGGGCCCTGCCTCTGGTCTTCTCCTGCCCTCACCATCCCACCCCTTCCTTTGCTTTGGCAGAGCCGGGGTTTATCCACAGTGCTGGCATTCACTCTGCGGCACCAGAGCAGAAAGCCCTGAGATGGGAACATGGGCAGAGCCTCTCCTGTGGTCACTCCTGGGGGTCGGCTGCCCTCTCTGGCTCCCCGGCCCTGCAACCGCATCTGAGCAGAATGAGAAAATATTGGATTTGTTTTCTGAAAGGGAAAAAAAAGGAAAAAAAAAAAAAAGAAATCCAATATTCTGTCTGCTATCCCAGACTCCGTGCCTGGTTATGGCAGGAAAATGCTGTAAATCTCCCCTTTCCCCACCAGCGGCGGAAGAAAGACTGATTTTCTTTTAATATTCCTTATTTTCTCTCCTGGTTTAAGGCCCCATCATTTTGCTCTGCAATCTCTTTGTTGACCAGGGCTTAAACCTGCTCTCCCGGCTCTCCCGACCCCAGGAAGTCGCCTCGCACACCCTTCCCAGCAGCTCCCAGGCAGCGGCAATGAGATTTTAATAGATGTATTTTCAAATTAGTTCTGGGCCTTTCAAGACTTATCAGTTAAATGAGGTTTTTCAAATTGATTCAAAGGTCACTCTGAGAGTTTTCTCTTCTCTGTTATCTCTCCCTTATGGTTTCAGTGGCGATTGACAGGACAGAGAAAAAACATCACCTCCATGCTGCACACCCAGAAATGGGGAAAAAAAGGGGGAAAAACACCAAAAAAAACCAACAAAAACCCACCCAAAACGTGCACCCAAAACTGAGGCGGTGGCACGAATGGACCCGGCTTCCGCTGGGGATGATGGAGGGATTGGGGGAACCCCATAGGCACGGGTGGGTTGTACCCGGTGAAGAAGGGAGGTTGTTTCCTCCTGGGAGGGGGAAAAAACCCTGATTTAATATTTAACCGACGGGAGGTTTATTGGCCCCTTCTGACGCGCAGATTAGGAGCGAACACACACGAAAACATAGCCGCGGGCGGAGCGAGGCGGCCCCGTGCGCTGATAAGGGCGCGGAGAGGGGCGCGGAGAGGGGTGCGGGGTGCGGAGCGGGGCGGGATGCAGGCTGCGGGATGCGAGGCAGCTCCAGGCGGGTGGGTTGGCGGCGGCGGGCGAAGTTGCTTGTTTTTAACGTGCCAAAACGGTAAAATAGCAGAAATAGTTCATATTTAATGAATTTGAGAACACCAAAAATCCAGCGGGGAAAAGGGGGGTTTCTCCCCGTTCTCGCTCGGTTTCTTTGTGTTCTCCTGAACGGACACTTGGCCCCACCGGGATATCCGGACTCTCGTTTCCCCCCATTTGACGGCGGCGGAATAATCCGCTCCCTATCCCACAAACTGCCCCGCTGCACCCCGCGGACACGCGGGGATCGAAAGCGGCGAAACCATCCGCGATATCCCGACGTTCCCCCTGACAGGGACCGCGACCGGTGCCCGGGGCCGGGGTCGAGCGGAGCAGCCCCGGTGCCCTCCGGTGGGGAGGAGCCGTCGTTGGGCGAAAGTCGTTTGAAAGAGGCTGAAATCGAAACAAAACTGGTGGCAAAAAGAATATATCTCTATGTATTTACCGCTCTTTACGCGGGGCGATCTTGTCCCTAATTGTGGCGTTTCGGTGTATTAGTTCGGGGTATTCATTAGCGGCATTAGTTGCCAAAGCCCTCGGGCATTTGCCGTGGCCCAGCCCCGCGATCGTTCTCGCAGTTTCAGGGTGGTTTGGTTTTTAAAATAACGACGGTTCGTGCTGCGGCGGCGAATTGCTGGGGAGAGAAAGCCCTGGGAGGAGAGAGAAAAGAAAAAAGAAGAAAAAAAAGAAAAAAGAAAAGAAAGAAAAGAAAAGAAAAGAAAAGAAAAGAAAAGAAAAGAAAAGAAAAGAAAAGAAAAGAAAAGAAAAGAGGAAAGGGAGAAAAACAGTGAGACAGAAAGACGGAAAGGAAAGGAAAGGAAAGGAAAGGAAAGGAAAGGAAAGGAAAGGAAAGGAAAGGAAAGGAAAGGAAAGGAAAGGAAAGGAAAGGAAAGGAAAGGAAAAAACGAAAACAAAAACCACTGAGGAAAAAAAGTTAAACACGAAAAGAAAACAAAAACAAAAGAAAGAAAAAAAAAAACATAAAAAAGGAGACAGCCAAAAACGGGAAAACTGAAGCAAAAAGAAAAATTAAGATGGGGGAGGGAAAAATAAAACGCAAACGCAAGAGAAGGGAAGAGCGGGCTCGGGGAGCTCCCTCCCGGCCTCCCCGGGGCGCCAGGCACGGCCGGTCCGAGCAGAACCAGCCCCCTGGGAGGAAAACACGCGGGGCCGGGGCAGCCGAGCGCTCACCCGGGTTAAGAGCGAAGGAAGGCGGAGAGCGGGAGCTGCCGCGTCGGGAACGGGGCACAACGGTGTTGTCACCCACCCGAGAAATAATCACGGGGGAATTGCCCAGCCTTGAGTGTCGGAAGAAATCCGTGATGGGGAGGGGGTATCCAATGGTCGGGGGTTTTGGAGGTGTGGGAGAGCCCCCACCGACACGCGTGGTGGGCTGGACACGCGGGTATGGGAGAGCAGGAGCCCACCCGCTCCAAGCATCACCCCCCGGGGCCTTTTTCTCCCCCAGGACACCGAGGGACCAGGGTGTGAGGTTGGGGGGGGCGGATGTATCCCTGTTCCCCCTCACAGAGATCCCCAAAGGTTGTCACTGTGGGAGCCCCTCACAACCCACGGGCCTCGTGGCGGGGGTCACGAAGTTTGTAGAGCTGCATCTGGAACGAGAGGGGGGTGATGCGGCCATGACAGCGGGTCGCGGAGATGGATGGCCCGAGGGGACGGGGACGGGCACCGCCAGCTGTTGCCCAGATGTTTCCCCGTGGGACTTCCCGTTTTGCCGAGCCCCGAGGGGCGAGAGGAGCTGCAGGCCCACGGTTGGATAATTAATGGTTCATCTGCGAACGGAGTGGTGGGAGGGGAACGGGACTGGGAAGAGGAGAAAAGCGGGAATTGCCATTTATAGGGGCCCAATGGTTTTATTGATCTACGGTTTACTGTCTCGGACTAATACATCAGATGGACTCCTGCAGTCGGGCGGGACCGGGACCAGGACCAGGACTAGGACTAGGGCTGGGGCTAGAACAGCCCTCGCCCTGGCCGTGCCCTGCCTCTAACACTCGTTTTATTCCTTGCCCTGGGAAGGGAACAATCCCGACCCGCGGGACAGGGGTCCCTTGCCTGGTGGCCGGGGGATCGCAGCCCTCCGGGCCCCTCCAGTTCCACCCCTCCCCAAACGCTTGGCAGCCCGAAAGGACGAACAGGAGGTTCGGGGTTCTTGTTCGGGGGGATTCTCCTGCATCCATCGCTGAGACCTAGCACAGCTCCCCTATAGCGCAACCCCCTCCCACGGAACCCCACTTCTCGGGGTTCAACCTGCCCCAACCGGGCCCTGGCGGAAGAGACGGCGGGAGGAGCGAAACGAAAGCAGGGCCCAGCGAGGCGGCAGCGGGGCCGGGGGCCGGGAACAAAGCGGCCGGGCCGGGGGAGGCCGCGGGGAGGTCGAGGCGGCTCCTCCAGGCCGGTGTCCGGGCCCGGCTCATCCCCTCCAACGGCCGAGGCCCGGTATCAACCGGCGGGTCCATGGAGGGGACGACACACACTTGGATTGGGGTGGGTTTTGTTGTGGATTGGGGTTCAGTTTATTTCCTCTCTTTGCAGGAAGCAGAGAAGCCAACCCAGTCCCCAGGAAATGTGGGGGGTTCATTTCCATAGATAATCCCTCCGAGGCCCCCCCGGGGCCGAGGGAAACTTGGCGCTGGGGAATCAAAACCATTTGGAAGAGAACAAACCTCGGTCGGCGTCGCCGGGAGGAGCGGAGCAATGGCAGCGGGGACCGAGCCCGAGCCGGGCAGGGCCCTCTCTGAGCCCCCCCAATCCGGCTCCGCGGTTTTATTATCACCATCATGGTTATTATTTCAGATTTTGGCGAGGCAGAAGCCACCACCCGCTGCTCAATTAGCCCGAACAACGGGGGCATTAAACGGCCGATCGCGGCAGTGTTTAAATCTTTATTTACCAGAACCTTGTAAAGCCAGGAACAATTTGCATTCTATTAACTGCTTTTCAATAGGGCATCGACTGGAACTAAAAGATGCCACTACCCTGCCCTAATTAAAGAGCAACTGAATTACACTAAATACATATGAACGCTGTTCTCCTCCATAAATAACGACGGGCTCCTCGCCGTGCCGAGCGCCGGGCGGGCTGGACACTGCTCGGATGCGTTATAAAGAACAATAAAATAGATATAAACGCGTGGTTTATACCCCACGGGCACCACAGGGACGGCGCGGAGGGCCCGGGGAAAGGACGGGCCGGGGAGGCTGCGGGGACCGGGGATTGCGGGTCAGGCCGGGCACTGGTCCCCCCTCCGCTCTTGTCCCCGCGACCCCTGCTCAGCCCCCTCAGCCACAGCACGGCCAAGCAGAAAAACCGCTTTCCTCCAGCAAACCCGCGGCCCAGCGCCGGGATGAGGCCGAATTTGCCCCGCCGGGAGCGGGGGGGGGGGGGAACGGCCGTGCCGCCGCGCTGCGCTCCGCACCCGCGGTGCTGCGGGACCCCCGCTGCCGCCTCCCCTCCGGCTGGGAACCGGGGTCAAGGAGCGGGATTCGCTCCCTCTTCCCGACCGCAGCCGGTGCCGCGGAGGGAGCAGAGCGCAGCTCTGGCGCTGCCGCCTCTCCCCAGCGATCCCCGGCCCCGCAGCCCGGCTCCCGGAGTCAGCGAGGCTCCGGTACCGGGTAAGGAGCTCCATAAGCGGGGTCGCGGCTCAGCCCGTACCCGTGGGCCGGGAGCTGTCCGGGACTCACGGAGGACAAGGGGCCGGCACCGAGCGAGTAAGCACCGCCGAGGCTGGAAACAGCCGAAGGGACCGGAGCACCGACAGGCTGCCGAATCCCTGGATCCCCCATCTCCTGCCGGCAGGAGCAGGCCCGGGAGGGTCGGTTCGCCTGAAGCATTATTCACCTTGAATATAATTCACTTTAAATCTTATTTCCTTCCCTTTCTACTAAAGGCTTCAAACCGGTAACACCCTCCCCAACCTCAGCTTGCAATGGCATTCCAAGAGCGGGAGCTCCCCACGCGTGTCACCGACACCCCCGAACCCACCCACCCAGAGGTGTGAGGAAGGCGGCCGTGGTCGCAGACCGCGCCGTGCCCTTACCGGCCAGCCTGAGCGCCGACATCCTCTGAAATTCCGGCTCCTGCAACCATTTCCACATCCTCCGGAAAGTCTCCCGGCCTGACTTGAGCTTACTCCAGGGCTTGGGGTTCCGCAGCAGGTCCGAGAGGGTCCCCTGGGAGCGGCACAAGATCCTCTGCGCGAAGATCGCCTGCGGGATGCTGTAGCGCTTCAGCTCGGCCGTGATCCTCTGAGCCACCTCCTTGGTGTTGATCTCCTCCACCTGCCCGGAGCCGCCGGGCTGGGAGCCGGTGGCCGAGGCCTGCCTCTCCCGCTCGCCCAGGAGGGCCCCTCCGGGCTGGCCGTGCGGGTGGCCGTGCGGGTGCATCCCGTTGAGCGGTGGCATCATGGCCGAGCTGGGCGCCGCCAGCCCCCGCGCCAAGTGCTCCTCGCCCCGGGACAGCATCGCGGCGTGAGAGTCGAAGCCGTTGGGCGAGAGCATCTTCTCGTTGGGCAAGTGGCCCCCGGGGCCATAGGGAGCCAGCGGCTGTTGGGCATTGTGCAGGCTGCCCAGGCCGTTGGGCAGCGGGGAGAGGGGCTGCCCCATGGCCGGCATGTCCTTGGGGTAGTGGCTGTAGAGGTTGCCCATGGAGGCCAGGCTCCGCTCGTCGCGCATGAGGGTGAAGCTGCCGCTCACGTTGCCGGCCAAGCGCTGGTGCGGGTGGTGATGGTGGTGGTGGTGGTGCGGGTGGTGGAACTTCTCCGAGACGGTGGAGATGGGCGGCAGGTGCTGCAGGGGAGTCAGCGTGGTGTAGGTGCTGCTCAAGCTCATGCCGGAGGGCGACTCGCAGGACATGCTCATGGCGGGGTGCAGCGGGGCGGCCAGGCTGTGCTCGGCGCGGTAGTCACCCCCCTCCAGGATGGAGGCCATACCCGAGACCATGGCGGGCCGGCCGTGCGGTACCAGGTTGCGGTGCGAGCCCTGCCTCCCGTGCGCCGGGCTCAGCAGCTCTGCGGGCTGCGAGTGCGGGACACCGTGCAGGCTGCCCAGGTTCTCCATCGCCAGCTCCATGGTGGCCGCCGGGCTCTGCCGCTGTCTCTCCCGCTCGCTCGCTGCCTTCCTCCCACAACCCCCCCCCGCCTCCTCCTCCTCCTCCTCCTCCACCGCCGCGTCCCCCCCCCCCGTTCCTCGCTCCCGGATTAATTCAGACTCCGCGCTCGGGGATCGATCTCCCGCGCCCCGCGGTCAGGCCAGCATCATGCGCCGGGCCCGCCCGCCCCAGCCCGGCTCGGAGCGCTGCGGAGCGGGGCGCGGTGCGGGAGCTCGGGGCGGCTGCAGCGCGCCTCGGCCACCGGCTCCCGGCAGCCTCGCTCTGGGCCGCGGCGTGACGTCAGCACCGCCCCGCCCCCCCTCTCCCCCCCCCCTCTGAACCGAGTCCCGTCCCCCCCCCCAAACCTCTCCCGGTGACAGCGGGGGGGACACCGGACGGGCGGGGGCAGCGCGGAGCAGCCGGCGGGGCCCGGAGCACGGCGGGACAGCCCCGAGCCCCGACCCCCGCCCCGGTGACCCCCCTCTTACCAGGTGCTCCCCCCCCACACCGAGGTGACCCCCGCACCCAGTGCGCATCTGGCGGCTGTGCCCACCTTGCCCTGCACATCTGCCTGAGCCCCCCCCGCTGCGCTTGTGCCCAGAGCCCCAGCACCCCCCTGAGCCCCCTCCGGTCCCTCCCAAGGGCCGGGCTGCCCTCGCTCACCCCAAACACCCCCCGTGCGTCCCACGCGTGTCCCTGGGTCACCATCCGGCTGGCACTGCCGACGTCCTCGAGCAATGGAGGGGAACGGGAGGTGCCAGAGGGGGGCTTTGGCTCGAGGAGGGGGGCAACAGGGACACGCGTGGGGCAGCATACGGTGCTGTGCTGCAGGGCCCTGGGCAGAGGTGGTGGGGAACGGAAAAAGGAAAGAGGGAAAGGGGAAAGGGAAAAGAGAAAGGGAAAATGTAAATGGGAAAGGGCTAATGGAAATGAAAGGGAAATGGGGATGGGATAATTGAAATGGGAAAGCGAAAGGGAAAATGGAAATGCAAATGGAAAAGAAAGGGGAAAGGGAAGGGGAAAAGGTAAAGGTGAAAGGGAAATGGAAGGGGAAAGGGGAGGGGAAAAGGATGGAGAAAAGGAATAAGAAAGGGAAAGGGAAAAGGAAAGGGAAAGAGAAATGGAAAGAGAAAGGGAAAGAGAAAGAAAGGAAGGCAGATGCGATGAAGAGGCCGCTCGAGCCGGGCCCAAGTCCCGGCCGCCCGGGCCTTCATCCTTCCCAGGGACTTTTCTGGCCGCTCCCGGCCCCGTCGCCCCGAACCGGGCTCCCCCCGACCCCGAACGCCTGCGGAAGCGGCTCCGGCATTTCCCGGCCTGCTCCGTGCCCCAGGCCGGGCCGCTGCGGTTTCCCAAGCTTTATTGAAAGACCGAAGAGATGAAAACGAACCCTGCGGACGGGTCCTTGCAGCCTCGGTCCCCGGCGCTGCCGGGCTCCAGGCGGCCGAGGCGGGTCCAGGCTGGCCCCGGAGCTCCGGCAGCGGCAGCGGGGCTGCAGGTCCCGGCTCTCCGGGGCGGGAGCTGCGGGCCGGTGCTCACGGTGTCACCGGGCTCCGCAGTGAGGAGTTCAGCAAAAAGGAACATCCCGTCCAACCGCAGCGCATTTAACCCAACCCAGCCCATCCATCGCATCCTATCCCACCCATGTCATCCATCCCGTCCCATCCCATCCGTCCCATCCCGTCCCCGGGAAGCCGGTTAAGTGACCAATACAATAAAATAAAGCCAGTTCTCAAGCGCCGCATAGGGCGGTCACCGTGAAGCAGATGATGCACGGGGAGGAATGGGGTGGTGGTGGTAGGGGGGGTGTCCCTTCGGGGGCTTTTCTGCCCCTGTTAAACCCCTATACCACGGTCTAGCCTGGATGTGGGAGGAATCCGGCCCCTCTCCCAGCTCTCAGCCCTGATGTGGCCCTGTCCGGAGGGGCCGGGGGCCATGAGCGGGATCCTGAAATCGGGAGGGAGCCGCATCCCGGGGGCTCCAGTGGGGTTGCGAGGTCTCCGATATCCAGGTGACCGGTGAGAAGCTTCCAGCAGGTAACGGGACATGGAGCCGGGCACGGATAGGCAGAGGGGCCTGGAATCGAGCAGGGATGGACAGAGGAAGTCCGAAGCCAGGCAGGGATGGGCAGGGGAGCCTGGAGCCGGGCAGGGATAGGCGGGGTGTACCGAGCTGGACGGGGATGGGTAGAGGGAGTACAGAGCCGAGCAGGGATGGGTGGGGGGGTCTGGAGTCGGGAAGGGATGGGCAGGGGGTCCGGAGCCGGGCAGGGGTATCCTGAGGCCAGGCAGCACCAGAAGATGCTGGGGGGGGGGGGGGGGTGTGGGGAGCAGCGAAGAAGGAGGTGGGGAACAAACCAGGGATGAAGCGGCCGCGTCTGCAAGGGTTTCATTGAGTGTAATAATGGCGATAGAGCATCGACCGGCCCATCGACCGCCCATCGATAGATCTATCCCTGCAGCTGCCCGCGCTCCCGCCGTCCTGCACAGCGTCCCCGGGTCGAGTTTACGCCTCCCCCCGCTCCCCAGCACCGCCAGGCCCGCAGCACCGGGTCCCCCTCCCGCCCCGGGGCAGGCGCTGGACTCTGCCCTCCGCCGAGCTTTGCACCGAGCAAGCAACAAATAAGGAGAGACTTTTTAGTAATTAGTGCGACATAATTGAGTAATGCGGGAGCCCCACGTCCGTGTCCCCGCCCTCCCCCCCTCCTCGGCTCTTCCCCGATCGATGCAATATCATTAGGCGAGAGTCACCGAAACCCGCGGGGCCGGGGGAGCGGGGCGAAGGCGGGAGCTCCCCGGGTAGGGCCCGGGCCACTGCCCGCGTATGCGATCCCGGAGCCCGGCCGGGTTCGCTGCATCCGCTGCGGCTCCAGCCCGGAGGAAGCCCCGCGGAGAGCCCAGAGGCTCCGGCGATGGGCCGGGTCGCAGCGCGGGGAAGAGGCCCGGTCTCCATTCGCCAGCTGGATGCTATTGATCCCTTCCCTCGCCTCCTTTTTCTTTCCAAGCTCCCTCTCCCTATTTAATTCCCATCCCTCTGTTCCTCCGTAGCCGCCCGGGCAGCGCTCCGAGAGGAGCCGGGCAGTGGCAGCACCCTGGGGCGGGGAGTGCGGAGCTGGGGTAACAGGTCCGGGGCAGCCTCCGCCGGTCCCGCCCCCCCCAACCCTTCCGGCGCAACCCAGGGCTTCTTTCCGACGGGACGAGCGGGCAGAAGGGGCAGCGGGGCGGGCCCAGCAACTGCCCCCAGACCCCTTCTGCCCATCCCACCGCTGCCCCTAGGGCGAAGCGGGGCTCCCCGCACTTAGAGACGCGACCCCGCTCCCGGCCGGCCCGGGCAGGAGGCCTCGAAGAGGCCGGGTGGGCAGCCCCGGAGCCTGGGGAAGGTTGTGTCGGGGGCAGGACGCGGTGCCTGCTCCCTGCCTGTACCCCTGTTTATGTCCCTGCCGGTACCCCTGCCTTCGCGGGCCGTGCCCCTGCGCGCTCCGCGGTTGCTTTGCGCTCAAATCTATTTTATTTTAATTTAATTTTATATATATATATATTTAATTTTTCCCCCTCCACTTAGGAACAGCTCGAAAGCACAAACGACACCGCCAGAAACACATCCAGCGGCGCGGGCAGTGCTGACTGCAGTCGGCGAGCAGGTACAAGGCAGGGACTAAATAAACCAGTTTATTTTGCCGGGCAGAGAAGGAGAAGGAGGCGGTTCCGCGCCCCCCCCTCCCCGCCATAGCAATGGCCCTTTAACAGCCCAAGTTCCTTAAAGTTCTTTAAGGCTTCAAAATAACAGCCCCATCGCCTGGCAGGTGAATTATTTAGTGCCTATAGATTCCTCGCAAACCCTTTCATTTCGGTTCCAAATCTTCCCCAGCCCAGCTTTTGCCTATGGACGTCTCGATTTTACAACAATCAAGCGGGAGGCAAAGAGCGTGGCAATTTCTGCTAATCGATTTTCCATACAATGGGCCCCAGATGATGTTTTAAAATGTGAGAAACTAAAATGTGTTGGTTTAAATAAGACTTTTGCAATCAATAGCTTTTAAAAAAAGAGACTTTGATACCGGTTCTTGAAGGGGATTCAAACGGTTTCGCTTCCAAAACAAAACAGAGCAGGAGAAAAAAAAAAAGCCAAAAAAATAAAACTCCCCCCAAAAAGCAGCCACGCCGGAAAAGTTCCGCCCGGATTTGGGGTTATTAAAGCGGGATTTGGGGAAACCTGCTGCGCGGCCGGGGATGGGGGGGATAGGGGGGGTGGGAGCCCCAGGACCGGAGCCCCCATCCCCGCCGCTCCACCAATCCCCGCTGTAGCGGGCGGGGGTCGTGCTGTGTGTCCGTCTGTGCCCCCCCCCCCCATTCACCCGGGGTCTCCCCGGCTTTGTCGGGTTCAATTTCCCCTTCCCCGCTTTGCCCGCTTGGCTCCGGCTTTGTGGCGCTTCGGGCAGGAACCCGGGAATCCAGCCGGGAAAAACTCCGGCCCTTTCCCCACCGACCTTTTCCTCTGCTTAAAATCCACCCCCCTCGGCCGCCCCACCGCGATCTGAGCCCTCGGGGGCCAGTTCAAGACAATTTTAGCTGCGAGATCAGGCCCTTTCCCCGCCGCTCCTCGCTCCTTTCCCTTCCCTTTTGCAGGATATAAACACGTGTCTATTACTTTGCTTGTTGCTGTTGGTAATTTCCCCCTGTAAAATATTCCCCCCTCTGCAGAATCGGCCCCGGAGACGTTTAAAGAGAGCGGGGACGGATCGGGAGCTGCCCCCCCCCTATCCCGCCTCTGCCGCCCCGCTTTCCCCCGGGCTCGGCGGGTGGAGCCGGGGCCGGGTGGGGAACGCGGCAAAGCGGCAGCAACGGGGGTGAAATCAAGGCGTGGGGCGGCGGAGAGGGGGCAGCGGCAGAACCGGGCCCTCCACAGCCTTCCCGGAGACTTTTCTCGTTTACACCGAAACTTTGGGCCGCCCCGAAACTCGGCAGCCGGGAGCGACGGGGCCGCGGCGGGGCGCGGGGCCGGGGTGAGTGCGTTTCTCCATCC